GATTATTAAACTCATTAATATAAATTATTTAATAATTAAATATATCATAAATATAATATAGCATTTTAATGTTTAAAATATATTAAAAACCTGTATATTTTAAAATTTAAATATTATAAGTATAGTATTTAATCTTATAGATCTCAATCATGCTCAATCGATCATGTAAAGTCAGATCTGTGTAGGCTATATTGAGAAGAAAAGCAGAGATTGAAAAGAGAGCAGTCCGAGACGGAGATGTGCAGACGTGAGTGTGATGAACTGATGAACTCACTTTGCCCTGGCTGGTCTCTTTGGAGGGCGAGCTCTGAGCGTCTGTCCTGCTCTGAGACACCGTGACCTGCGGGCGGAAAAACCGCAGATACAGCCCTCGAGTCAATCGCTCGTACTACCACCAACCTACTGTAATCTCACATGAGAACAGGGAAAACTTCAGGATCAGAGGAAAAGGAAGGAACAGGCAGAACTGGGGTGGGTTAGTAACGCTCTTCAGCGACCAACTCCAGACATGCACGAATCTGAGCTGAAACATCCATTAAAATAATAATACAATTATTTAGATAAAATATTAATGAACATTATAATAGTTCTATAAATAAATTATTCATAATAAAATTAAGTATATATTATTAATAAGTACATTTTGTATAATTTATTTTGTACTATAGTACTAAAATGTGAGATGAGTCAAAAAGTAATATAATAATAATAATAACAATATTAATAGTAACACTATACAATAAAATGTGTGTATTTTAAGTATATTAGGCATATATTATTAATTATAACAATTATTTAAATATTCAATATTCAATATTTAAAAAATATAATTTCACATTTTAGCACATTTTAATGTTTAAAATATATTAAAAACCTGTATATTTTAAAATTTAAATATTATAAGTATAGTATTTAATCTTATAGATCTCAATCATGCTCAATCGATCATGTAAAGTCAGATCTGTGTAGGCTATATTGAGAAGAAAAGCAGAGATTGAAAAGAGAGCAGTCCGAGACGGAGATGTGCAGACGTGAGTGTGATGAACTGATGAACTCACTTTGCCCTGGCTGGTCTCTTTGGAGGGCGAGCTCTGAGCGTCTGTCCTGCTCTGAGACACCGTGACCTGCGGGCGGAAAAACCGCAGATACAGCCCTCGAGTCAATCGCTCGTACTACCACCAACCTACTGTAATCTCACATGAGAACAGGGAAAACTTCAGGATCAGAGGAAAAGGAAGGAACAGGCAGAACTGGGGTGGGTTAGTAACGCTCTTCAGCGACCAACTCCAGACATGCACGAATCTGAGCTGAAACATCCCCATCATGCTCCAAACATAAAACCTTGACCTCGCTTTACGATCTCGCTTATACTAAACGACGCTCTTGAACTCTTTGTGGTGACAGGAGACGTTTCTCAGGAACGGGAGTAGGGCTGGGTATCGATTCAGATGTCCCGATTCGATTCGATTTCGATTCGCAAGCTCTCGATTCGATTCGATTCTCGATTTTTTTATTCGTATTATGCTTGTTATAGAGTGCGTGACGTCACGTGCACTACCGCCGGTGGCAAGCGACCACCGCGGTGACGCGGTTGTCACGGCGACCGTCACAGCCCTATTAGCAAGTCAAACAGAAAGAGCTCAGCCAGGAAAAAGACCAGGATGAACAACAAACATGGAAGGAGGTGAGTGATACATAATGATTATGAAGACTGGAGCTAGTGAACAGATCTACACAGAAGTCAACATGAGCAAAGGAACGTGAATCATGCTGCTTTCACTCCGAATCACATTAGATCAGGAAACAGGACGTGTTTGTCTCTGTTTGCAGACAGAAAAATCTACTGATCAGGACAGAAGGGCTGTGTCCAGATCCAAAGGCAGGCAGCTTTTAGCATATAGAGAATATTTAATGATTCATGTGCTTATTTTTCTCAAGAAATGCAATTAAAAGTTGAAAAAAGGATATTTATGAATTAATACTTATGTGATGTTAACACGTGATTGTTTTAAGACATTTTTATTGTTTTATTAATCATATATACATACTATTTAATAATTACAATAAGCAATATATTTCAATATTTATACAAATATGTATTACAAATATACATTAACATTTTATATAGTAAAATAATTAAATATATTGCATATATATTATATTGTTAATTGATTTATAATTATGTAATAATTATTGATAATATATTATTAAATTATAACAATTAATCTAAATATTTTATTTAAATGTGTTAAATTATTAATTAAAATTGTATTTATGAATTAATAATTACATGATGTTAACATCTGATTAAGACGTGATTGTTTTATGACATTTTTATTGTTTTATTAATCATATATACATACCATTTAATAATTATAATAAGCAATATATTTCCATATTTATAGAAATATGTATTCAAAATACACATTAACATTTTATATAGTAAAATTATTACATATATT